CTCACTGGAATATTCGTTTTACCCCAGATGGAAATGGTCCGCTCAATATTTAGTTTCTACAGTCCCCCATGTCCCCGCAGAGAACCTAAAATGATAAATCCCCCCATGTCTCCCCCAGAGACCCTAAAATGGTGGTTGGCTTCTTCAGATTTAAACTCATTCGCTCACATCTTCAGCCTGTTCTAGTATTCGCCACAAATTACACCATGGGGTGGGCGAATGGCGGTGGCCCCGGTGTCGGTGCACCCATTTTTCTGTCTCTCTTCCGCGACCCCTTCTCATGACTTGCCCACAATCCCACCATGTTTTTTTTCAAAATTTTGCCGTCGAACGGGAAGGTAAGGGAGGTGACCACCTCCTTGTCAACCATCGGAAGTAGTAATGGTCCCAGTTTGCCATTTTGGGAGTTGTCGAGGTGGGATGAGGAGGGGGAGGTATAGTGCTCATGGGACGGGAAAAATCAATGTTCAGGAAATCTGTCGCGGCCAAGACCGCTCGCATAACCGTATTCTTCCCTGATTTGCAAAAACTTCTATCTATGCTTGGTGCAAACGTCAACAGATGTTACTCTTCCAAGAATTCTATTGAAATAGATTTACAACGCGATGCCAAGCATTTCCACTCGACACCTGTTACCCTTGAGCGATGACTCATAGCAGCGTCTCAAAATCAGAAAGTGTTATTTTAAGTACGATATCCATCCTGCTCTATGGCTCAGCGCAGCCCAATACATGTTTTTTTTTACTTTCATACCATCTGCTTCTAAACTGCAGTTGTATTTCTTTCGCTGACGGAAAAACTTAACGAACGGCATGTTCAATGCATCAATGTTTCATGATCATCTCATTGTAATTCCATGAGTCATCGCCGTCTTGACGGTCCTGATTGTTTCGGAACCGCCAGAAAATCCATATGTGTAGTACTCTTTTTAGAAAGTTGGCATCAAATAAATAAGCGGAGATCTTCTTGGTAATCACTGAGCGTAAAAACCTAAGGATATATTGCAAGATCATCTGAGAAAGGACAGTCTGCATCCTCTCAATTAGCGCCACTTTCGCGTTTTGAAAA